GCTTCATTTAGCTCTGTTGCAGGCCCACTGGGGCAGCTGTAAAAAAGTTCTGGGAGCCAGAAGGCACAAAGGCTTTTATTTATTTATATCGTGGAGAAATATATAGCAGGAAGCAAACCGGTGCAAATGATGTGAAAGAAAAACTAGTCTGAAGAAGTTATCTTGCAGATTGTGGGATAACTGCAAGAGAAGGAATAGGCTGCATTACCATTTTATGTGCGGTATGAATTAAATATACACATTGCTGCCAGAATAAGTCAGATAACATGACAATATGTAAGGTAATCCTTCTTCCCATCCTTCAACCACCAGCGATGTACCCTTAAGCAAGGCACTTGGTTCTTAATTACTCCTGTGAAGCTGCTCATTTGTCAGCAGCAGATGATGAGATGGGCCGGCAAAAGTAAAAGGTTGCATTGGCAGCTAAAGTAAGTGTGGCATTGCTATCAAAGAGAATGCCTGCTCAGCCAACCTTGCACATAAAAGCTGAAAAAAAAAACAAAACTACTCTTACAACAGTTCATCATCTTTCTAACCTGTGGTCAGCCAATTATCTGGCTCTTGCTACAATATTGGACTTTTAACTCTCTGAACAAGGGTCCTCTTCTCCCTTGCATGTCAGCTTAGTCTTTCCCCCTGGTCGCTCATGACATTGTAACACTAATTACAGCTAATTGTTCTATGCTGAATGGATTTAGTCACATTGCAAATGATATGCCATTGGTCAGTGTCACAATGTTTCCACAGAAAAAAATTCAATGGGGAATGGAAATTTGCACAAATGAATGTAATTAAGAAGCACATTCATTACTTCTAATTGCATATGAGAACCCTCAAAGTGAAACCGAGATCCGGCTCATATGAATAATTAATGCAGCTAACTGTACTGAACACTGTAATGTTGCTGCTGTCACATAATGATGTGCTAAACTATTGCTTTTAATGATAAACTGTAGTGTTATACTTTTTCGTAATGCACAGTCCCAATCACCCACAAACTTATTTTTTTCCTCATTAAATCCCTTTATTTGCTGGCAGATTGTGTCTAGACAGTTGAATTCCAATCTCAGCACAAGCGAATGGGCGGCCAGACATACTGAGTAGAGTTGGAGGTTAGAGAAGTATTAAAAATTCAAGTGGTACCAACGTGTTTGGCACACTAGATCAAGTCAAGTGGCCTTTTCCAAAGACAAGAAAAGGGCAGTTGTAAATCAGTCAACTGGAAACTCAGTCTGAGAGCCATTATGAAAATTTTGGACCTACAGAAATCAAAGAGTTGAGAATGTAACCCCCAGAAAGTATGAACTTTGCAAGCCTTTAATCAGATTATTTGTCTGCTGGTATCACAGGAATTATAGAATGTGCCATAAAAGACCCCCCAAAAAATGTTAAAGTAAACATCACACAAAAAATAATGATTGAAATCTCTGATTTGATGAGTAATTACCTTTTTTCTTTTTTTTAGATTTATACAGAATGCATTGCAGCTCATTCAGAACTGTAATCTTATTACATTTGCAGTATTTAAAAAGGATTGGCTTATTTTAATAGCAGATTTAGATCTTAGACAGACAAGGTGTAAGCTGGTCATTTGAAAGCCATATGCCACAGATTAAGATACGGCACTGTGCTGTGCAGATATTTCATGTTCCTTCCAGAGGCTAATGCACTTCGTCGGAACTGCCTTTGCTGAGCTGCTTGTAAGTGGGCAAAAGTACAAGCTCCTAAATCCCTCAACTCCAACAACAGGAGAAAGAAATAAGTATATTACAAATCGTCCAGAGAACAAAATTGTGTATTGTTTGAAAAATGTGAGGGATTTAAACTCAGGGATTTGCTCCCACTTTGCCCCACTTTGTCTGAGGGCTTAGCACTGATCGCTGCTCGCGACATGATGATTCCCATCATTCTTCAAAAGCCTTTCAGGTCATCATTAGTACAACATCTGCTTAACTGCACAGGTTACCACAAAAAAAGTGAAGCAGATAAAAAGTGAGGTTAAAAATTAACACAGAAATATGTCAGTGTCCACACAGGTTGACAGATCAAGCGTATGCTCACGCTACCCACAAACATAGTGTAGATGCCAAAGCAAAGAATTACATGTATGTCCCATTTTGAACTATTCACCATGTTTAATTGTTCTGATTGTATAGTTTTGCACTTGCCAGCTGTTTGACGTATACAGCTCTGACATAAAAACGTACGTGCAAATGATGTTAATTAGGACTTTTTATATATTTGTCGAGACAGAAGAAGAACTAACAAAATCTTCGAAATAATGTGTGACAAGAGAGGCGACAGCTTAAGACTGATGGCGGGGTGGTGAAATAAGCCTGGAGGGGGAGGCAAGAACCCATAAAATGAACAGCCGCCTTACTCATAAATAATAGAAACATAAAATGTCATATGAACTTTATATCAAGAGAGGGTGGTCTAATAAAGATGCAGGTTTAAAGAGGAGTTGAGAAATTCATTGTCATAAGAAGGCCACATGGCTTGCCTTTGGCACAGACAATTATTCAGAGCAAGTTGACATTCAGGTTCTAGCTGAAGCACCTTTAAGAAACAACACTGCTTTTGACTCTCGAAATTCTCTCGTTCTACTGTTGCTCGGGTCTTTCAATCTCTCAGCTCTGTTTCTCACTTTTCACTTGGAGTCATTCCATCTCCTCTCTCCTCTTTACACTTTTCCTTGTTCTTTCTGCTTTACAAATTGAGACGACACGATAAGAGATTGCCACTGCCATGCCAGCCTGGTGCTCATTGATAAAACCATATCTAATCCATCTTAGGCCCCCCTCTGTCACCAACACACTCATCTCTGAGACAGTCAACGTGCACAGGATCCATCTCTCTTTTTGAACTGAGCTGCACAGAGTCAGAGTTTATCTGACTTAACTTCTGAAAGAAGAAAATGGAGCTCGATGAGTCAGGTGAATTTCACTCTGCCTTGAAATGATGTGCAAGTGTGTTGTGTGTTGAATCGGTAGCATCCAAAAGCAAATGAAAAAGACTCTTGGTTTTAGGTAGAAATGCATGGTTTATGAAAGATCTATTTTATAGGAATTAAAATGAGATTTTCCTGTAATTTCCTCGAGCCTGTAAACTCATCAAGGTTCTGCTAAATTACACAAGATGCATATTAATCAAATCGCTTTATATGGCTTGCACATTAGCTTTGAAAATGATCCATTCTCCTCTTACCTGCCTTTACTATTTATCTGTTAGAACTATATTGACTTTAATACAGTATTACGCGTGACTTTGTGGTCAAATAACTAGAAATAGCTTTTCTAATATCCAACTACTTATATTAGACTCCGATACAGCACTCACTAGGATTTTTCATGCAGCAATTTGTAAAAGTACACATGCATTTATTACATTAGTATGGTCTTCTGTCTAAAGCTAAGACACTTCAACAAATATTACCCCAGAGGCAAAGTGGGTAATAAGTGGAGTATTTGAGCAAGTTTATGAAGTATGAGATGTTTATGTCTCTGTATATTAATGGAATCATGAGCAATTGCCTCACTATTCGAATGAATCACATATGAATCACTACTGTCAACATGGTGAATACATTATAGAGAACAGCTGGGGAAGGAGATGTGCTGCATGCATTTATAAAAATGCATGTGTACAGATGTGTGAAAACTGTTTTTTTAAATGTACAAAAATGTCTTGTTATAACTTCACAATCTTGCCATGAACAGAAGGCCATCACCACAATGTCGCCCATTTTGTTTAATACCTAACACAAGCGTTCACAATCACACTCACACTGTCACCCAGGCCCCAAACCTGTCAGCCCAGATGCTGGGGAGACACCAGGGACTCTTGTCTCACTTACAACAATGACACAATGGCTTTACTGCATGTAGGTGTATACAAAGAAATCTATTTTTCAGTGTTCTTTGGATCTTATATGCTGCATAGGAAAAAGAAAAAACGGTCTCACATTTTGACAGAAAACTGAAAATCAACAGAGTGAAGATCTACACCAGTCCTGTCCGAAATATACGATGGAGGGTTATATCCAGAAAATGAAATCTGATTCACTTGGATTCACTGGGACCCACAATAGCCTTGTTCATGCTGTCTTGTCATATATGGCGAAATAATTTCAGCAGCATCTCTGGTATGCTGCTTGTGTTTCATCACTGACACTGATGAAAAAACCCAGAGTTTTTTTTGTTTTGTTTTGGTTTTTTTCTACACTGTCTTAAGGACGTTTCTTTTTCCATCTGGAACTTGTTTGAGCAACTATTAAAATGTATATGCATGAGGAAGGAGTTGTGTATCCCTGTGTTTAAAAAGGCTTGTTTTATGGAAAACAGCAGTGGGCAGTAAGCCATGGAGTGACAGCTGTCTTGTGAATCATTAAAATACAATTTGGCAACACAGTTAAAACTTCAGAGGAATAATTCCCATTACGTTGTACAGCTTAACACTGGACAACAGTTAAAAAAAATTAACCTTACAAAATAAATTTTAAGTAGCAAACACACTATTGTGCAAATTACATCCTTTTTATTTTATTCTGCTTTCCCATGACAGAATCACTGCTTGTGTTTTTCTTTTTTTTTTTTTAATGAAACCAATTCACTTGCATATTTTAAAATGACTGAGATGGTGTTTGGTTTAATCTGTATAAAGAAAACTGTCAAATATAACACACTAAGAATGAGTACGTAGCGAAATATTGGATTTTTTTTTGCTTGCTTAAAGAATGAACTCACAAAAACAACATGGATAGCTAGTTGTTTTTGGGGTTTTTTGTACAAAAATGGCCGCTGGTTTAGTGTTTGCAAAGCTGTGTTGTTACAATTACAATCACAGCTGTAATCTCAGTAAATAATTGTACTGTTTTAAAACACAGATGGCCACTTGTAAATTATGCTGTCAGCCTCACAAAGCACAAACAATAATAAAAATGAAAAACATAAAAGAAAGGATTTGCCTGCTGTCAGATCTAGCAAAAATATACTACTCACTGGATTCAGGGTCTGAGTTTCCATCTCCCTCGGTCCGGCTGTTAGGTGATGTTTGCTCATAGTACTCCTCTTGGGGGAAGCTAAGGGGAAGAGGCTGGGTGGTACTGGCAGTGATGCTAGGCTCCGGGTCTCCAAGCCCGCTGTCACTGCAACTCTCCTGGGAACCGTCTGGAAGATGGAACGTCACACGGCGCTGGGTCTGAGGCACACCAGAAGATAAGAAATGTTTATATGAGAAACGCTTCTGTCCTGTTAATATGAACATCATGATCATCATACTACTACTACTACTAATAATAATAATAATAATACAGAAACCTACATTATTATAGTGACTGTAAGCAGTTTAAGAGGTAAGGGGTGAACATTTTTTTTTTAATTTGTAGTTACTCTCATACTAAAGACAGACCTAGACAGCAGATCTTTTAAGTCCATCCTGGATCAGACTTGCTCCACATTCCTCAGCGACAAACACCCTGTCACCATTTTATGGTTCTCCTCTCACTCATCACAGCTTAACACAAACAGCCCTTGTTATTAGACCCAGTCGTCTGGCTCAAACAATCTGGCCTTTGTCAAAGCGTCTCAGGTCCTTACGCTTCCTCATTCTCCCCGGTCCCGCATTTTGACGACAACAGCTCACTCTTTACTTAAATCGCATAAATCCCAGACCCTGACATGTGCTGCTGTTAGGAGATAACCTATATGATTGTTTCACCTGTGAGTGGTCATAAACAATGGGCTGATTGCTGAATGAATAAAACCCACTGTATCGGTACAGGTTTTGAAATATCCACCTCTAAGATTTTTACCTTCACCCCATTGCAAGGATGAATGAAATCTCAGTTTTTGTTTTGACTATAGAGAGACTACAGAGTTGAGAAATTACATTGAAATATTGGCAGCAATGCTTCATTCTAGAAGTAGTGTTAAAGGTACTCTTTATAATCCATAGAACAGAGTGAACTGTTTTCTTTTTTTAAAGACTGTTTTATTCAGCAGTGAGGAGTTCCTATGAATACTTCAAAGTGAGATCTGTCTGGAAAAACAAGGACATTTCTTCTACAGAAAAACACTGTTTAATCTTTTAAAATATATCAAAGCTTTGAGCACCACAATCAAAATTCTTCTCACAGCCATTGTGCTGGGGTGAGGGCAGAAATCTCAAAACTATGTGTATGGTGTTAACCGCAACACTTACTTGAGATTTTTTTTTCTTTTTTGACTGAAGGGGCAAACAGAATAAAAGGCTTTAGTGATTCACTAAACCAGTGTTATTATCAATTGAAACTGTGATTGTTGAGTCCTGTTTCTTCTATTTCTATTTCTTCTATACAAATACAGACCAGACCATTTCATATCAAGATGTTGATTCAATTAACCTTAACATGTAAGTAGGGTAAGGCTCATGGGTGAGCTTGGTGTTTAACTAATTATCATTTACACTGTAGGCTTTAGGTCATAGATATTTTACAGAGACTAGTTTGTTCCAGTACCAGTAAAATTACACAATACTCAGTAGCCATTTTTTTCCAACTATTGAAAAAAAAACAAACACATCACTACTTAGACATAAAATCTTTTATTATAAAGTAATTTAAAGACACCAACAAGGTGGTGACAAACTTGTTACTTAAAACGTTAACATGATACTTTGTTTATAAGACGAAAAGACTGAATGAAATGGTTGGTAAGGTAACCTGCTAATGGTACTATGAAGTCGATCATTAGCTCCAATATGTTAGCTCATTCATTCATTTATTTATCTTTTTAGCCATTGCAAACATTATAGCCTATGGGACATAACTGATATCATAATGCCAATTCCAAATAAAAAGGTAGTGTGTATTTTATATAAACAGTATAAAAGATGGCCTTAGCTACAGTGACACTGCCCGCTGGTTTCTGAAGAAGTAAATTGTTGAATGACGCATCAATTAAAAGTCGTTAGCTAACATGCAGTTTCATATCGTAGACAATTATCTATTTTGAAACATAGTAAAGAGTAAGCAAAACACGTACTGTTAGAAAGAGCAGTTTGTGAATTTTACATGATTGCTGGTAGAATAACAGTAGCAGTGGCTACATTGACTCCAGACACGCTCACAAAAGTATGGGTTTGACTATCGTGTAGATATACGCGTCCAGAAGTGGGACGCACCGAACACTTTTGCATTTTAAGCTTAACATTATGCTGAAACTGCAGAAAGGTTGGGTTGCGAGTTACAGTGCAAACTACAATCAGGAGGAACTTTTAACAGTCCTGTTGTGATTCCCCAAACACTCCTCATCTCTAAGTATGCGTACAGACATTAAGCACATAACACAGTGTTTAACAAATGAAAACACAAATAGAAATCTGAAATGAGTCAAAAATGTGTTTGAAATTATATTGTTATTTATTAAGCAAATAACAAACTGAATTTGTGTTTTTATTCACACATTTGAGCCGGCACACAGGACTTCTGTGAGACGCCAGAAATTAATCAAGCATAACAATCAACCATTAAAACTAATTTTTCTGTTCAGGAATGCAAGTAAATAATTTTAATTTGGCACCTTAATCAAATAATAATAATAATGTCCTTTACTTTTTTTCAGAAGTTTTATAAAACAGCAAATTTGAAAATTCATGGATTACAACAGTTATTATATTTTTGCATTTTAAAATATTTGGATTAAATAACTTGTGTGTACTGGTAGATTAAGCATTACAGAAAAATAAACAATGATTTTTGGTAATTACCAACACTGTTAATTTAGGTCAGCTGTGGCATAAACCTTACACTGGGTGGTCTAATAAATGTGTTAAGCACTGTATTACACATTATGAACATATACTGGATGGGATTTAATATTAAGTATAAAATGAATAAACACACTGAGCACTTGTGAACATTATTTTATATGTGAAACTCTATATTCAGATATGTGCTGTATTTTAAAATTGAAACTTCCGTCACTTTAATAATATATAGCCTTCTGAAATCAGATTATTCTTTCTGAGACACCATGTATAACAAAGATTTACAATAATTCGTTTTTATTCAGTGTGACCTAAAATGAGTGATTGAGGCCATGAAGTCAGCAGAAAAGTGTTTGTCGAGGTCAAAACAGAAACCTGTTTTTTCTACAGACCTCTATAGCCCCAGAATTCTTTGTGCACCACAGCTATTGTCATCTTAAAATACAGGTTTAAGGTACGGTATTTCAGCATAACAATGCAAAATACTTCCATCCCCGACTTCTACTGTCTTTCGTAACAATAAGTCAGGCCAGCGGCACTAGCCGCCATCTTCCATGCAAATTTTTTTTTTCTGTGGTTCATATAGTTCAGCATATAGCATATAAGAGTAGACATGAACACATGTTTATGTTCAAGATGTATGCTGTCCCCATCGGTTTCTGAGCAATAGCAGCATATGTACCTTTGTTTTCTTTGATTTTTTTTTATCTGTGACACTTAAACAAAAATAGTTTTTGTTTTTTTTAAATTTTGGTATTGAAAAGTAGCACAGGTATTGGTTCTGGTCACATTCCCCTAAGGCAAGGGTGTCTAACATAAGGCCCTTAGTGTTACAGCTTTTCTGATTGATATAGACCCCCACCGTCCATTGCCACCCATACTACACTGAAGCACATGAACATTTTCTGTTAACTATTGAAAACTCTATAGTCTAAATTCATAATTACAGGCACAATGATCAATGTCTTCTGTAATGTTACATGTTTATTGTGTTCCACTGGTGCGACCCACTTCACATCGAAGTGGGCTGTATGCGGCCCACGATGTAAAATGTGTTTCACATCCCTGCTCTAAGGACACCACCAATGACAAAGACAGAATATTAACACCAAGGAAGGAGTGACAGCAACACTTACTCATAGACGAATGAGTATAGTGAGATGACATTTCCAAGGGAAATCCATGCCTAAATGTTTTTCATGACTTGTTGGGCATATCTAGTGTTTATCTTCTTTTACAGTAACTCCATAGTGTATCCATCTTTAAACTGAATAACTGAGACAGTGACCTTATATTGTCAAAATGTTTTGGGTGTCTCAGGCCTATTAAATATGGCGTTATTTTTGTGTCACTATTCTGAGCGATGTGTTGCTCGCGCTCTCAACATTTCTGCCCGTGCGCGCTCAACTCTTTCTCTACACCGTTATATTTGTGCCACAAAACTGGCCAATCACAGATTTGGATGCAAAAAAATCTGATTGGCTGTTCTGGTCTCCAATCAGCTCGAAATGACAAAATGCAATATCCCAGAATCCATTTCGTCCAAAATTCAAACGAGGCAGTGGCGGAGGAACTCAGAGTGGCGGAGTTTGAAATATTACTCTGTCTGGGTCACAAAATAAACTTTTAAGATATTTTCATGCAAGAATGTTGCTGTGTAAACTTCAAATATCTGCTCGATTTACCGAGACATCACATATTTGCATAAGTGCTCTAATGTTTTCGGAGATGCCTGTTACCCACCAGCTGACCGGGTGGTCACTCGGGTTAAACATAATATATAAGGCTGAACTGACAAAAAATCACCGACTACACCACCAGGTATTATAGGAAAAACCATAAAGCCTTTGAACTAAAACAAACGCTGTTGTAACAGTGATGTACACTGTCTTGTTGGTATATATGTATGATTTGTATAACCTTCATGTTTCCAAACCGATATCATGAGCAGCAGCTTTTACAGCTGTGGCTCCAGCAAACACCAGCTGATACTAGAAAGTAATATTAAATAAATTCTAACAACAGCTGATCAAGCTTGAACATGCTGTTGTTGTTTCTCCTCAAAATACAACACTTGCACCTGCAAACTTTTTTTTACGTGCGCTCACAATAGTGGCACAAAATAATTAATTTACTTTTCCTATATAGGGTATCTGTAAGGCTTGTAATTGACACTTGTGCAGTACAGGTCCTGTGGTATATGGGATGTGTATTAACAGGTTGAAATACTGTATGTCCTAGTTTTCCTTCTCACCCAATTTAGACACAAAAGAAGTGGAAACGTGTGTGGAGGCTGAGACTTTGATTTGTAAAGTCTTGGGGATCACAGGAGTGTGGGCATTTTCTTCTCAACAGTACAGGCCTCTTTGATTTCTCTGGAGGTTTACAGAAGTTTATGTTGTGACCTTTCTTTGGAGCTAACAAAGAAATACACTCTGTACAGTATCTCCGTT